ACAATCAAATAAGTGAAGATGAACAAATAAATTAAATGATTGTTGAAAAGTAAAGCACACAAAGATTTATAGAGGTTTAGCCAAACCCATCCTACGTCTTCTCCTCATGAAATTTCTTGAGATATTTCTACTAATAGTTGACTTTTGGATGCTAGCAAAACCTTACAACCAATAGAGCTTCTAGGTGCCTATAAGACCTAACTAGTGAAACATCTAAATGTCAATCAAACCTGAACATAGGCTTACAGGTGGCAATACAAAGTAAATGCCTCTTAACAGGTTGACAGAAATAAGTACAATGCAAACTATATTAGATGCAAGAGTATGCACAATACAATAGGTTCAAACCCTTGAAGAGATTCAAGAAAACTCTAGGAAAATAATTAAGCAAAAAGGTTACTTAGTTTTTCTCACACTAGAATTGATTTAACTCAAAGATCTCTTCATTAAAAACTCTTGCTCATAAATGCTATCTTTCGTTTAGCAAATATTCACCAATCAAGTTTTGAAATGTCCAAGGTCATTTGGTAGCTCCTGTTCATGTAGAAAATTCCTTTGCCCTCTCCAAGTGTCAAGCTACTTCCGATCGCATTCGAGAGCTCCTCTTAATTTTGCTTTTTTTCTTCTTATTCATTGTTGAGGAACAAAGGAATCCATGAAAAGGGATTGTTGGTTATCTTCCGCTTTTCCCTGTAAGAAAAGAAAAATAAAAAGAAGGGAAGAGGAGAGCGAGAGATTGAGTGAGAGTGAGTGTGTGTGTGTGTCTGAGAAAGAGAGAGGAAATGGGAATAATGGCAGTTTAGTGACTGATTTGGTTGCACTAAATCCATGGGAAGAAGAAGAAAAACAAGAACAAGAACAAGAAGAAAGGAAGAAAGAAAGAATGAAAATAATGAGAGTAAATGAAATGGTTGCATCTGTGGCTTATTTGTTGTTTTGGAGAATCGTAGTGGCCACTCGTAAGGTAAGAGATGGGGGAGTTTGCAAGCTGTGCTCCTTTAAAAAATGGCCAAAAAGAGAGAACATTGTTCTCCAACTAAAGTGTGCCCCTTATCAAATTAATCAAATTTGATTGCTCCCCCATACTCTATTTTCTCCCAACTGAGTTAATTGCGTCTTTCTTGCTTGAATTTTCTCCCAACTGAATCTGTATATATAGCACAAGTCATTTCTCACCAATGTATGTAGTTGTAAGTTTGTTTCTTCTTACCTCAGTGATTTCCCGCAGCCTTTCCCAGATGGTAGCTATGGGTACAAGGCTTCGGACCTTCAATTCGCTTCCAACCAAGTTTTGAAATTGACCTCTAGGCTCAGGCCCAACCTCCCTCATCTTTGGCCCACCTAAACTAGCTTTTTTCGAAATCGAACCGCCAACTCCCAAAATGGTTCGGGTGGGAGAATTTAAACTATTCTCTCTATATGAAATGCTAGCATACCTGGGACTCACCACACACGCGGGATCCTTACAAACTACAACTCCAATCCACTCGTTGAAATTTCTCAGGTCATCTTCAATCTCTACAAACCCTATACAAGTTCTTGGAACCTTCTCTCGCTTAGCTCCTCGATGTTTCTCCCTACGCCGTTGATTCTTTTTCCTATGGTGGGAGAGAAAGATTCTAAAACCTCCCTTCTAATCTGCTTCCATGGTTTCCCCTCGACTCTTTGCCTTCCTACCTCTTCCATCCTCCCTTTGCTAACGTACTTGGACCTTACGTTGCATTCAGATGGTTTGCATCAATGGCCACTAGTTTAGACATCCGAAGTCCCTTTCCTTTTAGCATCTCTAGTCCCTCTACCACCACCCTTACCATGAAAACCTCTCCCTGAAGCTACACCGACACCACTTTCTAGATCTTTCCATCTCAAGTTTAAGGGATCTATATCCATGAAACCGCCCAACATGTCACTCAATTCCTTAAACACATTCCAACTCCACGCAAACAGGGGAAGGCCAAAACAAGATACCTTCCACTTCAGATACCCGCTGGAGATTTTCTCCTTTTCCAAATCAAAGCTCCATCTATGCAAAAGGATTTTTCATCCAAGACATGTCGATGGACTTGAACTCACTAGTTTCACTACCTCTTGCTCTGAATCCAGGAAAAAAAGAACCTTCCCCAGACTATTCTTCTCACTGCTCCTCGAACATTTCCTCCTCCAGGGTTCCTCACTCACTTCTCTATTTCTTCGACAAACATTGCTCCATTCGCTATTTCGCACACTACCACACTTCTTAACTCTGCTTCCCTCTCCCTTACACCTTTCATTCCGATGCAGAGTCTCAACCCTACCTTAATTGTCTTCACCTGAGCTTCTCCATGTTTTGAAAAGCCTAACTCCATCGGAAATGCTACCGTCTCAACCCTACCAAATATATCATACTGTCATGATCTAACTACTCCCGTTGGCCCTCCAACCAAGTCAGCCAAACTGCACGCTCAAGACCCTTCTTGCTAGGTTGCTTAAGTGCTAAGGATAGACACACCAAGGCACACAAGAGCATACCAAGTATTGTAAGGGGAAAAGATTGTATTACACTAGAAGAAAGCTTACAACTCAAAGAGTGCTTTTACAACTTGGATGCCTCTTATAACTTGGATGCTTATTGCAAATGAAGGAGGAGACCCTTATTTATACTAATCCCCTCTAGAAATCCTCTAGAACTATGTACATTTGGCATCATATAGAAGCACCTCTAGAACATTCTACCATTTACACTTTTCTAGGGGATGCCTTCTCCATAAGATATAAGAACACTCTAGAGGAAGTCTAGATTGCTCTCAACCCCTTTAGGTTGTTCTACACAAACTCTGATTGTTCCACAAGGTTCTAGAGAATTTCACCAACATCTAGAGAGTTCCTCTGGTTACTAACTTATGCTTGCACAACCTTGGCTGTGAGAAATAGTTGACTATCGAATAGTGTCTAGGTAACACCAGCCTCGATTGTTATAGGTAATCAACAATTCACTATTCACAACCTAAAAAACTTTGAGATATTGATACCAATGGCCTAGAAAATTATTTTTTTAAGCTTCCAAACATAGATCAAGTCGAAGAATGAATTCAAGAACACCTAAGAACTAGAGCTAATACTAGCCATCGATATCTAAGGTATGGTCATTCAAATCTAGTCAAGTTCAACCCCGTAGAATGCATCTCATGCAAGTAATTTACGTCAAGTCCTAAAAACTAACACAATGTAGATCACTGGAACTTGATGTTATTTTTTTTTTCTTTTCAATTCTTGGTAGCATCCTTCTTCTTTGGAGAAGAGCAGGTTAATTGATAGACACCCAATGCATTTCATTCAAGCTTGGATTCTTCATAGCAATTTGTTAAACATTTTAGCTCAATAACTACAACTTCACACTTAAATCAATCATTAGTACACTCAATGGATTTGTTTATCATCAAAACACATAGGGTCAATACAAGGGTGATGTAAGAATAGCCAATATGAGTCTTAGGACAGTTGGTTTGTCAGAAACTACCTTTTTGGGCCTCTGAATTGAAATTTCGTGGTTAATATTCAGAATTTTGTAGTAAAAATTGAAAGTAAGGGCTTGTGGATGGTCCAGAATCTTTTTTGTGGTGTTGATTCCTTTTATTAGGTGCTTAAATTCTAAGTTTTTTAGACCCCTGATGATTTACACCAGTAATGGTAACTTGATGGATATTGACATCCATTGAGTTTGGTTTTGAGATGGGAGAAACTTTGAGACGTCTTGAGTTTAATGGTTGGGCCATATTTGAGTTTTGATATAATTAAGTGGTTTAACTTTTGGTCATTTTTCGGTTAAATTAGTTGGAAATAGATTTTTTTCTAATTTAATGGTAATTGGATTTCATAGGTTGTTAGAAATGGATTTATATGGATTTTGGGATGTATCACATCACATGGAGAAGTTTGATCATTCAAATGGTATCTTGATGATGGTTATCCTTAATGTTGATGCAAATTGGTCTTACAGTGGTAACAGGTTTTATCATTAGTTGAGGATTGGTGCGTATAGGACTTGGATTTGCTGGTGTTCAAATTATTTGTTTTACGTTTTGACTATTCTATGATTGAGCCAACTTGATTTGAAATGGAATAATCCTTTTGTGTTTGGTTGTAGTGCAAATTTATTTGCATTAGTACAAATACATAGGGGTGCAAATGTAAAAAATGCAATTTCTTGTTTAATTTTGTTTTGGATTTTACTTTATTCTGCTTCATATCTTAATTTATTTCATTTGTACCGCAATCAAACAAAATAAACTAAAATTTGAAATAAAAATATGTCAGAATTTACACTCAAATCATTTGCACTGCCATGGTTTTACATCAATACAAATTCATTTGCGTTGCAACCAAACACAAACTAATATGTTTTCTCTTTATTTTGCATTTTTCTTTTGTGCTTTTTGGTTTTTGGCACAACAATATTTATGCAAGAAGGTTGGAGAAGCTTTCATCACATAAACCTTATACTAATATTACAATTGAATGAATAGGCAAAACTGTCCTCGAGAAAATCAGGACAACGGTAATTGCACCGCTGACGTTCTTTGAAAATGTGGCAAGTGTTTATTCTTTCTTTCTTGCAAAATATTGAATTGTGAGATTTGTGCGCTTTAAATTCATCACAAAAAGTTGTCACTTCCTTTTTTGTATATTGTGAATGAAAGTCTGGAATGAAGATTAAAATGAGTTAGTTCATTTCCATTTT